TACAATTATATTTATAATTAATTATAGATATAATTATAATAATTACAATTGATTATACTTATAATTATAAGAATTATCATTGTAATTATAATTATAATTACATATAATTATAATATAATATTATAATAATATTAATCATATTATTATTATTATTATAATATTGTTATAATAATAATAATAGTCTTCTTAACAATTGCATTTATATTACTATTATTATATTAAAATATTATAACTATTATTAATATCTTTTTTATCATATTATTATTTATATTATTAATAATAATTATATAATAATAATCATAATAGTAATAACAATATTAATAATAATAATTAATATTTAATATAATAATAAAAATGATAAATCATGTTTGAACTTTTCTGATCTGATCTGAATGTTTCTGATCTGATCTGAATGTTTCTGATCTGGTCTGATCTGATCTGAATCTTTCTGATCTGATCTGAATCTTTCTGATCTGATCTGATCTGAATTTTTCTGATCTGATCTGATCTGATCTGAATAAAATAAGAATAAGCAATAAGTAATAAGAATAAGACGAACAGAACAGCACCTAAGCTGATTGAAGACTCAAGTGGATGTGGAGTCGGATGCCATTCGATCCATTTCTAAAACACGAAAGGGTTCAAATAAGCAAAGGATTCTCAAGTATCTCATTCTGGCCATAGACGTTATGCGAACAAGGTTGCTCATATGTAGCTAGAGTGACCGTTTCTTTGTCTAAATGCCGAATTTGGGTTTTCAACCTTGCACCTTATATTATTGATGTATTCAACCATGATATGATTACTATTAATTAATATGTAGTATTTTATTTTCCAAAAAAAGGAGAAATTACCACTTTTCCATTTTTTCTCCACTTAAACAATTAATCCATTATTATGGACTTATGGTTTCAAGACTTGGCTCAGCTGAGAGCACTTGTAACACCGTCACCAAATATATTTACTTTTATGTAAATTATGTAATAAACCTTATGCAATGAGTAACGAATTTACGAAGTTGTAAATTTTTATTATTCCTTTCGTGTGAATATTAAATTGCACGTGGGACCCACACCGGGAGCGGGGGCCGCCCGACGTCCCAGAGATCACTTAAATTATTCTTATGGGTCAAGATAATATTTATATAGTGGTGGATATCTTATTTGGGCCATGAGAAGGCCTGGGGTTGACCGATTGGTCAAAAGAGGACCAATTACCGGTACCGACAATTATTTGATAACAACCCGAAAATGAATTTCGGAGACTTCTAAATTAAAGTTTTGGAATATATATTATTTCAAAAAGGACATTATGATGGAGAACACATAATATATTTTATTTTACCCGATAACATAAAATATAATTAAAATAGTCTAAAAAATACAACTTTCGGGACCGATTGTACACATCGGGACACAAAAGGATGACCTCCCACATGAGTGGGGGTCACCCCACGTTTTGTGAGCTGGGATAGGCAAGGAAATGGGATGGTTGACTTCTAAGGGAAGAGAGTGAGGTGATGAGCATCAAAAGTACACTCATGGACCCCATTCTCCCTCACTCATTGTCCAAGCAAGACAAAAGAGCCAACTCTAACCCCCCTCACTCCATTAGCTCGACCCAGCCCCCAAAGAAAGAGAGAGCTCTGAAAAACCTCCATCTCCATAGCCAAGAAAGCTCAAACAAGCAAGGAGCTCAAGGAAGAAGAAAGAGTTGCAAAAGTTGGGAAAAACCTTGAGGTAGAGGTGAGAAACTCCATAACAACTTTTCCTTCATCTTTTATATTTCCATATGACTTATATATCATATGAGGTACCCTTAGTATTGTTCTACATGATATAAGTGTTGAACAATGGATTGGAAGATGGTTCTAAGTCCGAGAACGGACTTAGAGGCCAAAACAACCGGTTTGCCGGAAAATAACCTTTTTGAGGTTATTTGTATTAATATGGGTTTTATGATTATAAAACCTTGTTAGGGACTTGAGTAAGGTATTTCAAGAACTTTCACAAAGTTGAAAAGAGTCGCCGGAGTTGTCGCTGGAGTTCATCAAAAGTCGCCGGAGTTTCGCCGGAGTTCAACCAAGAAGGGTAGAACTTCATAGCGCTAATTCGATGTGAGTGGACGGCTTAATATCTTATAACTTTAGGGTTAATTATGAGATTACCTAAATAAATGTTATATGTGTTCATAATGATGTTTAAAAGATATTTAAACATGTGATTAGCCAACATGGTTAAGTTGTATGAAAGGAATTAATTGTTATGCATGAGATATGATATGAGGAATTATATAAAATGCATATTTGCTTGAAGTGTAAAAGAAGCACAAATGAATATTATTAACTTAATTATATGATGATTAAGTTGATATGTACAAGGCTTGAAATGACGGTCAACGAAAGCGTTGACCGATGGATAATGGATTAATTAATACCGGTTGGTATTAGTTAATTATAAATTTACATAAATGCATGGCTTTGCATGGATTGTGATACATAAGCTTTATGTATTGATTTGGCTATGAATGAATAAATATGAAATAGACTCTATCTAGGTTGATAGGAGGTTGATCATAGGATTATAAACTTGGTGGAGGACCCTAGGACTAAAAGTCCTTAACACTCATATTTTGGTGGAGGACCCTAGGACTTAAAGTCCTTAACACTCATATTTTAAACTTGGTGGAGGACCCTAGGACTTAAAGTCCTTAACACTCATATTTTAAACTTGGTGGAGGACCTTAGGACTAAAAGTCCTTAGCACTCATATTTTGGTGGAGGACCCTAGGACTTAAAGTCCTTAACACTCATATTTTGGTGGAGGACCCTAGGACTTAAAGTCCTTAACACTCATATTTTGGTGGAGGACCCTAGGACTTAAAGTCTTTAACACTCGGATAATATTTTGGTGGAGGACCCTGGGACTAAAAGTCCTTAACACTCGAAAATATATTGGTGGAGTACCCAAGGATTATGATCCCCAAAACTCATAGATTATGATATTGAAATAGGGACAAGGAGGAGTCCTATACACTCATAGGTATATGGGTGGGTTGGGTTTTTTAGTCAAGAATATTGACTATTACTATTTTTCCCAAATAAAACGGTGATCTACGGATCAGATATTTTCCAAGTATATATATATACTAATAAGTATTTCATAACTTGGGGGAAAAGACTATTCATATATGTATCACCCAATGTTTGGTTCTTATACTTGAAACGCTAGTTATTCTATATTTAGCCTGCTACTCGCTCGGTACTTGTACTGACCCCTTCGGGGGGGGGGGGGGGGGGGGGCACCATTTTCATGTTGAAGCTAGGGCTTGCTACTTGCACCTTTTTACGGGTGATATCAACTTCAGGAAGACGTGGTTCGTGCTTCCTTATTTTCTTTCAAACTACCGAACGCATGCTCATGGATATTTGCTCTACTATAAACTATTTTTGGGGCTTGTATGCCCATGTTGTTGGCCGGTTGTGGCTTATGTCTTACCGTTGAATATTTCCGCTATTCATTGGTTTAAATGTGATGTTGTTATGTATGTTTACTACTGAGTATGGATGAATTATTTTCTCGAACGCCTTGTGTAATTAAGTGAGATTGACTCGCGGGTGACGTCACTTGACTCACGGAGGTTGACTCGCGGGTGATTACACAAAACTAAAAAATCACGTTGTTTCTAAATCTTTTTCAATAACAACAATGTTATATCTGTTTACACTTATATGATTTCTTTAGACATTAAATATTCATGGGTGCCACCAACTACACAGATCTAGACCACACTTTTCTACCCAATTCAACTAATTGATCTGTTTACATTTCTATGATTTCTATAACACTTATTATAATCTGATGAAAAGTATATTATTATGACATTACATTTTGCTCAATCTAATACTCCGTAGCTCTTAATCAAAGAAAACAAGCAAATGGCTAAATTCTGATATAGAACATTTCAATTAAACACCTAGAGAAATTGTTAGATTACTTGGTCCACATAAGAACAAAAATAGACATTGTCAATAGAATTTAGCCAAAACCATAATTGTCAACTCAATGACTTTTTTCAAAAAAGAGTTTGAGCTGCAATAGAGGACAAAGACAGTGCACTTTGTGAATTTTAAACTTTTAATTATTTTTTCTATAATTGATATTGTCAATTAATTTCACCTAATATTCTTTTACTTTTAGTATTTAATATTGCACTTATATTTTTACGATACTCACTTTTGTTTTAAGGAATTACGATACTCACGATAATACAGAGTAACTTTTTTGGAATAATGTTAAAATTTAAAATCTTCTTTTTGTATTCAATTAAACTTTGAATACAAATATATGCACAACGGCTCTTTACCCGTGCGTATGCACGGGTACTGTACTAGTTATAAAAATAACTCTAATGCCTAAGTTACCCTCAGATCTATTGGCGGACCTTCTTGGAATCCCTTGCGCCCGAATGTAGGATATAAGAGCATCTCCAATGTGGAGGTGGATGGCAATTAAAAGGCATTCCACATCAGCTAATGAACCCTCTATATAAAAATCCACTCCCCAATGCAAAGAAATATGAGCTCGTTCAAGCTGAGTTGGCAATCTTAAAATAGACCCTCAATCTTGCAGGAGGTCCATACAGAGACCCTCGGTCTCACTTGCATAGTATTGATTGGCAATCTTAAATAGGGTGTAGTACTTTTGTTTAGCATTGGAGAGTTACTTGGATGGACCCTTTCATTTATTAGACAATTGAGCCACATTTGAAATAGACCCTTTCTATTTTACTCCCGGTGTAGTCTTATCCGTGAAGCCTCTCGTTTCGGTGCAAAGTACAAACTCGGTATTGGAAGAAAAATAAATCACATAACCCACAAGATCAAGTAATGAAACCATGGACCATAGCAACGGGACTTTCCTCTTATACCCTTCGTCTGTCGTCTTCTATCCTCTGTCAGCTCCATACTCGTGTCACAGAAGCTTCAAATCCATTCACACACGAGAGCTCCTTCCATCTTTACTCTCCACCCCCCACCCACATTCGCCAATCCCTTTCTCACATTCTGAAAAAAATGGGCCTTTCGTCCAGCAAATCAAGAAACCACTCCTCACATTTGCCTCAATCACCTCCCACTTCCGCACGCTCTCCGCCGGCGAGCGCCTCCGTCTCCGAAGAATCTTCCGATTTGAGCTCGTACCAGACGGCGTGCGAAGAGGACTCCAGCCTCCGGGCATTCGACTCAACTCTCCAGTCTCGAACAACCAAAGCCATTAACTCTGTCGCCGGCAACCTCCTCGACCACCGGTCCCTATCCCTCGATTCTCTCCGGGAAGTCACCCTGTGCTTCCTCGACATGAACCAGGAGGTGGTGTCCCTGATTCTCGAAAGCAAGAAGGATGTCTGGAAAGACCCGGACCTCTTTGATCTGGTGAAAGACTACCTGGAAAACAGCCGCCACACCATGAATTTCTGCACCGCCCTGGAAGAAGCTCTCCGGCGGGCCTACCACAGCCAGTCCATACTCAAATGCGCTCTACAGAGATTCGAGGAAGAAGAAAAGGCCCGGATGAATTGCCCGGGTCACGATCCGACCCAATTCTACTCAAAAACCTTAGAAGAGTTCAAGAAATTCAAGGAAGCCGGGGACCCATTCAGCCAGAAGTTCTTCTCGCTGTTCCAATCCGTTTACAGGCAGCAGGAATCAATGTTGGGTGCCCTGAGAGCGAAAAAGAGGAGGCTTGACAAGAAACTCCACAAGGTCAAGTCTTGGAAGAGACTGTCCAACGCAATCTTCGCGGCCGTGTTCGTCTCTGTGCTAATTTGCTCGGTGGTGGCCGCGGCCGTCACGGCGCCGCCGGTGGTGACGGCTCTTGCGGCGGCCGCATCTGTGCCACTTGGGAGTGTGGGGAAATGGATAAACACTATGTGGAGGAAGTACGAGAAGGATCTGAAGAGGGAAAGGGAGATCTTGACTGCGATTGAAGCTGGGAGCTTTACAGTGATTCAGGATCTGGAGAATGTCCAGGTTTTGGTGGATAAATTGCAGATTCAGATTGAGGAGTTGTTGGGGAATGCAGGTTTTGCTATGGAGCAGAGTGGGGAGGGGGTGGGTGGTGTGGTGGAGAACATCAAGAAGAAGGTAAGTTCTTTTATGGAAACCATAGAGGTTCTGAGTGAACATGCAGAAAAGTGCAACAAGGATATAAGGATGGCTCATGCAATAATCTTGAAAAAGATGAATGAACCAAGTGGTAGCAGGAGCAGATCAGCAGCCAGTGGTATGTTCTTTGGCTGACTGTCAGTCAGTCTATGATGTTGTGCTGAATATTGAACTGAACTTTGTAACAGATGACTGAAACTTGGATTCTCCTAGGGACCATGGGTTTCTGTATTTACTTACCCTTTGAGACAAATTTGTGTGATCTTTATCATATTGGCCATGGTTGGTAAAGGAGGAATGTGGAAAGTAATTGACTGATATGTTGAATGTTTTGAAAGAAAAATTGTTTGTTGAAGTACATTTTGGTCAAATGCTACTACTAGCTCTTTGTTTTGGTAAAAGCTACTACTAGCTTTTAAGTAAGCATTTTTCCGCTTGATCTTGTCCATAAGTATTTTTATAGAAAATTGAAAAATTATCTAACTTTTTCCAAGGGAAAAATTATCAATGTATAAATGGACATACAAAAAGTAAGGTTGGTTGATAGCGAAAAGATATTCCTTTTTTGCAGATCATACAAGTTTTGATGGTTGAAAAAGAGAAGATTTTGCCAAGAACTCTGTGTATATTTGAGCATAGTAGTTAAGTTTGTTAATGTTCAGAATAATAATTTCCTTTTTAGAGGTTCTTTTAAATTTGTTTGATAACATTGAAATCAATTGAATCAATTTATTATGCTAAAATTTACGAATTTTTGAACTAATTGATTAATTGAAATTAGTTGAATCAATTTATTATGCTGAAATTTACGAATTTTTGAACTAATTGATTAATTGAAATTTGTTGAATCAATTTATTACGCTGAAATTTACGAATTTTTGAACTAATTGATTAATTGTGCTGAATCAGGACAAATTATATACGGAGTAATACATACGTAGTATAAAATAGGGAAAATGGAAACTAATAATCCAACCTTTTAGCGCTCTTCTTACAATAATCCAACCTTTTGGTTATTCATGAATAATCCAACCTTTGCACCTCATCTTCATTCATTGGTCCCTGACCGGTTGATGACCTGCTATTCCAAGCTATTTTCTTATCTTTGCAAATCATTACACCATAAATCTCATCTTTCACAAAGATAATATTTTGCAAAGATAAGAAAATAACTTGAAATAGTAGGTCATTAACCGACCAGGGACCAATGAATGAAGATGAGGTGCAAAGGTTGGATTATTCATGAATAATCAAAAGGTGGGATTATTGAAAGAAGACCGCTAAAAGGTTGGATTATTAGTTTCCATTTTCCCTATAAAATATTGAAATAATGACAAAAATACAACTACCGGCTTTTGAAAGGACATAAATAGAACCGAATTTTGTTTGGACTAAAAAGAGACTAAAATTGCATCAAGCTGACTTAAATGCCCCTAAACTCTTTTAGCCAACCAATCCTTCCGTCACCTACTCGCTCAGATGCATTCGAAGCATCCCCTCTCCACTCTCCAATCATCTGCACTCGTCCCTCGCCCCAGACTTCCATTCCACCTTTGCCGCCTTTGTCCACCTTTGCCGCCAGCCTTATCTCGTTGCACCGCCTCTGTCCACCTGCGCGGCCATCGTTATCTCGTTGCACCGCCTATGTCCATCTGCGCCGCCATCGTTATCCAGTTGCACCGCTGTTTTTGTCTAGGTTATTCTTCGTTGTCTTATTCATCATCTTCTTCTTTTCTTCTTCTCGATCTCCGATTCTTGATCCTGGATCTAATCTGGACGGCTAGGGAGGGTTAGGGTTGGGCGGCGGTGGGCTGGTTGTTCTGTGGTGGGTGAAGAGGTGCGATTATTGCGGCGGCGGTGGGCTGGTTGTTCTGTGGTGGGTGAAGAGGTGCGATTATTGGCCGGTGGTGGGCGAAGAGGTGCAATTATTGCGACGAAGAGGCTAGACTGATTGGCAATGGCAGGGGAGGTATAGGCTGAGGTGAGGCAGGTGTGGGGGTCGGGCAAGGGCTGGAAAGGCAGGGGCTGGGGTGACTTAAGGGAGGGGGTCTGGTAAGGGCCTGATGGAGTATATGGCCCAGGAACCCCCGGCCCATAGACTCCTGCTTCTCCTACACAAGTCCATTGAGCCCAGAAAACAACTCAGGCCCAAATACAACGGCCCAAGCCTCAAAGTAACCCAGAATACACACTGGGGTGCCTTCGGCCTCCTTGGCCGAAGGCTCCAAAACTCACAGGATAGCCTTCTCTGGCATAAGAAGCTGCTGGGAGAAGACGGGCGAAAACAAGGAGCCCTCGGCTACAAGGAGCCCTCGGCTACACACGGAGCCCTCGGCTACACCGGGAGCCTTCGGCTGAACTAGCTCAATCATCGAAGATTCCTTTTAGAGACAGCCAACCACCGCATTTAATGCCACGTCGCATCCACTAACCGCATTCAATGCGGTTGACGTACCACTGCCGGTGCCACCAGGCTGATGTGACCCTTCGGCCGTTGGATTACTGACACGTGTCCTCTCATCGCATTTATTGTTGCTATAAATAGCAGCCCATTTCTCCTTGTAATGGACACAATCTACATCTCGATTACACACACTGAGTTCATTTAATAAAATCGACTCTCTCTCCTCCTATTTACTCTGACTTCTCTCTAGTTATTCCCGTAATAACCCCTCGGATAAGATACCCCCCGGGTAGACTATCCATCATTTGGTGCTTTCATTGAGAGGTCTGAACTATCAAGTAAGAAACCCTCCCCCTCTACCAAATACAAAACACTTGCCAAAAGATGGGAAGAACCACTCGTGCCCAATCCAAAACTCTGGAGGAGAACCACGTCGCCCCCGGCGAAACCAACGGGGCTGAGGCCTCCAACAGGCTCTTGGTACCCGAGGGTGGTGTCATCCTTGAGTTGGAGCAGGCTACCGCTGACCTCCGTCAGCAGCTACAGAAGAACGCCCCTGATGCCCGCATTGGCCTTGATAATCGAAGGAGGGATCGGAGTGAGAACCAAGTTCCCCCTCCGGCCCCGGCCATCGATCTTCAGGCTGCCTTTGCGGCCTTCGTCCAAAACATGGCTCTCAATTCCGGAGCCCTCGCCTCCCAGGCGCCCCTTCAGCCCCACGCTGGAGGGAATGTTATCCAACTACCACCACTCCCTCCTTTGTTCAACAGTCCTCCCCCGGGGATTGGCAACGCCGAAGGGGTCATGGCACAGGACACCGCCTCCCAAGAGGCCCAATCCAGGGATAAACGTCCCTTGATGAAGGAGAAACCCCGGACCTCTGCACTTGAGAGGCTTGGGGGAGCTCCCATACGCCGAGGGGTCCAAGACCGCCTCGGCAAGCAGGAATTCAGCAGGCCTCAGGAGAGCGGAGCCTCCGCTTCGGGAGCCGAGGGCATACCTCCGCCCCGAAGCAAAGGCAAAGCCCTCCTCCATGCCGATGACGCCAGACACCAAATCAATCAGGCGCACTCCTTCCGGGCCAACTCCCAAGGGGTTGCCCCGAAGGATCCCAAGGACGAAATTATCGAGGCCCTCCTCCGCCAACTTGAGGAAAATCGTCAGGCACCCCCGACGGCTTCCACAGCCAGGCTAGATCCGGAGTACGCTGACCTCCGGGCACAGGTGGAGGAAATGAAACGTAAACTTGCCGAAGGCTCGGGCGAGCCCCTCATTCAGCTCCGCACTAGGACGCCTTTCACCCCAAGGGTGTTGGCGGCCAAAATCCCCCACAAATATCGGGGGCAACCTATCAAACCATATGAGGGGAAGACGGATCCCCAGGAGCACTATAGTCGTTATCAAAACAGCATGATGATGATGGGGGCATCGGATGAATACTTATGTCGTTGGTTCCTTTCCACCTTGGAGGGACCAGCGTATGAGTGGTCCATCTTGGCAAGAACTTGCCCACCGCTTCCTTACACAATTTGCAGGGAGGCACCGCTCAAAGAAACACTTCTCCCACCTCCTAAACGTGAGACAACAGAAGGAGGAAACCCTTCGGAGTTTCCTAGAGCGCTGGAGGCAAGCCTCCCTCGAGGTCGAAGGCGCTGATGACAGGACCCTGATGGCCCTCTTCCACACCGTCCTCCGCAACGGTAACTTCTCCCGGAGCCTCATTACTGATCCCCCCCGCGATTATACAAAGGCCCTTCAGCGGGGGGACCGATATGCTGAAGCGGAGGAAATCGAGAAGGACCGCCGCAACACGGACCCCTCTCAGAAGAGTGAAGGCAGGAATCGGCCCGGAGGGCCTCCCCCTCCGGCCAACCGCGAGGCCCAATACAACGATCGCTCCCGAGGTGGCCAAGTCAGACCCGGGGGCGGTTACAAGAACAATCCGAAGGCATGGGCGCAACCCGTCCTCCTTGAGCATCCACGCACTCCCTTGACGCATCCCGTCAGCGTCATTCTTGATCATGCGGAAGAGCGGGGGCTCGTTGAGCGAGACTCCCGCACACCTCTCGAGATTTATGCCATCGGTCCTGATGAGCCCTACTGCCGCTTCCACCGCCACCATGGACACAAAACCGACGACTGCCATCAGCTGAAGAACGCCATCGAGAGGCTGATACAGGCGGGCCACTTATCTCAGTTCATCAGGGGCCCTCCTCCCCAGGGCCCCCTTCACCATCAAGGGCCTCCGCCGAAGGCCAACAAGTGGGTGAACCCCAACACCATCCCCTTGGGAAACCCACAGGGGAAGAAGCGGGAAATAGGGGGCCTCGATGATGAGGGAGAGGGCTCCCATCAACAATACAAACGCCATATTCACATGATTAACGGCGGCAACACTGGTGGAGACTCCACCAGCCAACGGAAGAAGTGGGCACAGTCCCTTTACATTGGGGAGGTCAATCACATGCCCCCAACCAAACGGCCGAGGGCGGATCCAATTTTCTTCACGGATGCGGACCTCCCCTCGGGCTCCCTGCCGCATAGGGATGCCCTCGTCATCCGCACTGAGATCGACGACGCCATCATCCACCGGACTTATGTCGACACGGGGAGTTCTGTCAACGTTATGTATCTCAGCACTTTTCAGGAGTTGGGACTCGACAGGGGGTCCCTTCGGCACATCAACACCCCCCTCTCCGGATTCACGGGGGACAGCATCGACGCCGAGGGCGTCATCACACTCATGGTCAAATTCGGCGACGGATCCCATAGAGCCAAGCTCGAAGTGGAATTCGTCGTCGTCAACCTCGACTGCGCGCACAACATCATCCTCGGCCGACCTGCCCTCGAGGACTTGGAGGCCGTCATCTCTATGAGGCACCTCTGCCTCAAATTCCCCACACCCACCGGCATCGGCTACTCAAGGGGGAATCAGAAACTCTCCAGGGCCTGCT